TGCTAGTAATAATTGCTTTAATCGAATGGTTTTCATCTTAATTTGAGAACATCGTGACTGTCTTAAAACAGTCAATGACAGTCTAAGGCACTCTGTGCATGAATCATGATGTCAGATCAGCATCTTAACGTGGCACACCTGTGAGGTGGGATTATCTCAGCAAGGCAGAAGTGCTCACTATCCAAACTTTGAACAGATTTGTGAACAATGTTTGAGAGAAATGGTAGTATTGTGTATCTGGAATGGATTTTAGATATTTACAGTGCCTTGCGAAAGTATTCGGCCCCCTTGAACCTTTCAACATTTTGCCACATTTCAGTCTTCAAACATAAAGATATAAAATTTTCATTTTTTGTCATGAATCAACAACAAGTGGGACACAATCGTGAAGTGGAACAAAATTTATTGGATAATTTAAACTTTTTTAACAAATAAAAAACTTAAGTGGGGCGTGCAATATTATTCGGCCCCTTTACTTTCAGTGCAGCAAACTCAGTCCAGAATTTCAGTGAGGATCTTTGAATGATCCAATGTTGTCCTAAATGACTGATGATGATAAATAGAATGCACCTGTGTGTAATCAAGTCTCCGTATAAATGCACCTGCTCTTTGATAGTCTCAGGGTTCTGTTTGAAGCGCAGAGAGAACCATGAAGACAAAGGAACACACCAGGCAGGTCCGAGATACTGTTGTGGAGAAGTTTAAAGCCGGATTTGGATACAAAAAGATTTCCCAAGCTTTAAACATCTCAAGGAGCACTGTGCAAGCAATTATATTGAAATGGAAGGAGTATCAGACCACTGCAAATCTACCAAGACCCGGCCGTCCCTCCAAACTTTCATCTCAAACAAGGAGAAGACTGATCAGAGATGCAGCCAAGAGGCCCATGATCGCTCTGGATGAACTGCAGATAACTGAGGAGTACAGTTATGGATGCCTTGATGAGGAGTTTGAATGACGGCTCGGAGCGAGGACAGCTCAGCACGGCTACTCGGCCAGCTGCACCTGATAGAAGCAGAGAATTAAGCAGAGAGATGAAGCATGACAGCCGAAGCGAACCTGAGAGCATGGTGCGAGACAGCTCAGCATAGCTCTGCATCTATTTAGTATGGATTTGAGTTGGGCTCCGGACCAGTTAGCTGTCATGGGGAGGTTGTCGTGAGAGAGCTGATAGCCATGGTGCAGTGACGGCACGGCTGAGATACCGATGACCAGGGAGGAGAATGGAGCAGCAATGAGGGAAGGAAGCCTGGTTACTGCTTGCAGTTTGTGCGCTGAGGTTTGAACTGGATTCTGCCCGGGGAGACTGGAACAGAAAAGATTTATGAATGACACTGAATGATAAGGAGGGATTGACTGTTAGTATGAGATCTCCAGACCCCCAAAACAGCGGTGCACGAGGGGGGCCCAGCCTGGACGGGGCCCGAGAAAGTCCAGCAAGGCGAAGCGCGAGCCACCCTGGCGGCGAGAGCAGTGCAGGGATCCCGAGAAGCAGTCTGCGGAGAACGCCGGGAAGCAGCCGCCAACGGCCGTACGGCAGGTGCCCACGAAAAGGACGCGAGCCACCAGCCAGCGAGCAAATACAGACAGACAGGAGAGGCCCCTGCAGGTACCTAGGTGGGAGGGCGAATGCACCGACTGGGCAGCAATACAGCCTACCCGAGGCAAGGCCCACGACAGATGAGCACAGAACAGGCATGGCTCCAAAACCGGAGAGACATGCGGGGAGGAGAACAATGACACCAGCACGGGTCCTGAAGGGGGCAGGCAGGGAAGACCAACATGGAGCGGGAAAGCCGAAGCGACGAGACGTTACCCCGACAGCCTGCAGTCCGATGCGCAAGGTTAAAGCAGAGCCTGCACACCAACGTACAGGGTTAAAAAGAGAGCCCGCAGTCTGACGCACGGGGTCAAAACTGGCAACTAGCAATCCAATGCGCTGGGTTAAGACAGAGCCTGCAGACCAGTGCGCGGGGCCAGACGGAGCCTGCAGACCAGTGGGCGGGGCCAAACGCAGCCTCCAGACCAGTGCGCTGGGTCAGACGGAGCCTGCAGACCAAAGCACAGGGTTAATACAGAGAGCCTGCAGACCTGCACAGGGCAAAAACAGAGGGCCTGCAGACCAGCGCACGGGGCTAAAATAGACTGCATGCAGACCTACAGGACTGGAAGCGGAAGTGCAAGATTTTGTGAGAGTCCCACCTGTGGATACAAACAAAACACACGTGCCGGTTGCATGCTGCTGAGATCGCCGACGTCGTCCCCTTCCATGCATCTCTTTCAGTGCCGCTTCGGACACATTTCGTCTCTGGAACAAAAAACTGAGTGCGCGTTCGGAATTAGCTGTGCAACTCCGGCAAAGCCCCGAAGTTTCCACACGGCGGGGCGACAAGAAAGGTGCAGGGCCGTGGTCAAACACATCGCTTTTCTAATCCACTATTATACATCAGAAACAAAATATAGAACCAATATTCCCTTGCGAATAAACAGATGTCGTCCCATACAGCCATCTCTGCTGCTTTGGTTATATCCAATATACATGAACGATCACTCTTCTATTTGTTCATTAGCTCCAGCTCCACTTCGCACTCATTGCAGATACACATTGGGCCGTTTTACTTTGCCGTCCGCAGGTCAGCACACTCACCACCACGCACGCCAGAAGACGAGGGAAAAGCAACGGGACGACGTGGCACCGCCAATTGGAGGCAGGGACACGCACAGACCCCCGCACCGGCCAGACCGTCTGCACGCAGCAGCAGACCACGACGAGACGAGCAGCAGCGAGCCCGCGGAGGGACCCCGTGGAGCAGCCCGCAGAAGAGGAGAGCGGCGGAGACTAACGGGCCACAGCGCGCGATCCGCAGCAGGTGCAGGGACCCGGAGGAGGAGCAGACCACAAGCAGCCAGACTGAGAACAGCCGGGTCACACGCGACGAGCAACACGTGAGCAGAAAAGCGACCCCTCCAGAACAACGCACGCAAAGTTTGAGAAGGCCGGGAAGTGGCCGTCTCCGGCTTTTAACTCGCTGGCCTGGCGGTTTTTGGTTGACTGGAAGTGGGTGTTGCTGTGCGATGAGCCGAGGATGAGAGCAGGCCTGGAGGAGCTGGGCAGCAGCAGGCCGGGTCTACCAGGGTGAACTTGCGCAAAGCTTCATAATCCTTCATCTCATTGGACAATATTGTTCAGCCAATAAACAGAATTTAGATTCATCACTCCCTGATGCTGTTTCATAATAAGGGATTTCAAATGAATTAGGCTATCATTGGTTTATTATAATTATAACATTTGAAATGTGATTTACTTTTTTTTTTTAAATCATTGACTGGAGAAGACGAGAGCAAAAGTGGGTAGGCCAAGACAAAAATAATGTTGAAAGAATCTCCCTAAAACACTCTGGTCTTGTTTGACGAGCGCGTACGACGGCCTCTTGTCACATATCACCAGAGTAATTGAGAATTAGGAGGACCAATAATCTTGATGATCCACCAGGTGAAATATACCGTTAAATATGGATTTATCTTATACACAAATGTCACAACATACACCAATCACACCAACAGTTGATTATATAAATAAGGGCAAGGATGATTTATTTGTATTGCACAGTGCTTTATATTCATTAATTTCTCTTTTTATCTCTTTATCTGCTTTTAAAATTGGAAATAGAAAACATTTCTAATTGACAATTTACAGCTTCACACAACCACATGATGGATAACCATGGATAATCATTCTGTTTAGCTGCGCATATACAACTGAATGATTTTATCTTTTCATCTTTGTTTTTATCTTCAATCTTTTTAATGCACTGTGACTATTTATGATTTTAGTCCCATCTGTGATTTTAATGTTTAAAGGTTTTTAATTTTTGTGATTTTATTTTTAATGTTTTTAATATATCTTGTGCTCTTAATGTGTTTGATTTATGCATGATGTGATAAGGGATGTGAAGCGCTTTGCGTTGCCTTGTGTAGGAAAGGCGCTCTACAAATAAACGTTGATTGATTGATTGATTGATAACCAAATATGGACGAAACAATGACATCAGATATATCAGTATTTTGCCCGCACTTTGGAGATCCTTAACGTGGTTGTAAGCCATACTTTGCCAAATGAATGTTGATATCTAAATGTGCAGTAAAACTTAGATGTTTGTTTTATCTGCATGGAAAACCAAATATGGACAAAACAATGAAATCATATATCCCAGTGTTTTGTCCGCACTTTGGAGATCCTTAATGTGGTTGTGTTTTGTTATGGATTGTCAGATATGAACAAAACAATGAAATCAGATATTTCATTGCTTTGTCCACACTTAAAATCAAAAGTGCAGTTCATGCACAACGTCCAAGAAGTTAAAAGGAACTGGAGACTTTTTCCAAAGAAGAATGTGCAGCTCTCCCATCAGATGGATCCAGAAGCATATTCCCAACTATGACACATGAATCCAGCTGTCATAGAGAGACCATTTCCCCTAGCATAATAACATTGTGATTACCAGATTCACAACTATTGAGAGAGGTTTCAAAAACCCAGTTAGCATCAGGGTTATGTGAAAGATTTAGCTCCATCTTAAGAGCTAAACGCTTGACTATTGAAGGGTATCTTCAGAAGTTGGGCAGTGCTTTTCAGTTGGGAGACCTTTCTGCTTCTGTACTGTCCGGTTCTGTACTGTCCGGTTCTTCCAGGCGGTCTTGGTGTCATGGGGGGGCGTGGCTGACACATAAGGGTTACCGAGTCCGGATCCACACCTGGGACTACACTCCTCTTTCCTCTTCGGTCCTGGGTTGGGACCACAATGATCTTGACGTTGCCCACAATTGGACACATAACCTCCTCTGTCTTTCCTGTAGGCGTCTGGACTGGGACTGCCCTGGACTTCACTCGACTCTGGACTGGGGGCAGAGTCTGTATTTGGACTGTCCTCAACGCCTTCTGGCCGTTATTTGGAGGTGGTTTCACTACATTCACGTTATTATTATTTTTCAGAGCACTTTCACTTGTCAGGACCGTTCTTTTTGTGCTCACGATCGGCTTCATGGACTCCAACTTTGCCGAAGGTTGGTTTACCTTGTTGACCAATGGCACAGCTTTACGTACTATTCCAGAAAGATAGGGAGATGGCTGCTTTTTACCATCATTCATCACCTTAACACACTCGGGTTTTGAAGTTGTGTTGCTTTGAAGAACGTTCCTGTTTCTTTGGGCCAGCAGGGGAAGAATGATGCGGTTTTCAGATGCCGCCCTCTGGATGCCTCTCTCCACTTGCTCCTTGTGTCCTTCCTGTTCTATCTTCCTCTGGGCCTGTCTGTCTTTTTCCTCCTGCTCCTGACGTATGTGGCGTTCCTTCAGGGGGTGTTTATTGTACAGTGCACTCTTTTCTGCACTTCGCCACCTTTGCTGGTCCTTTCTGCGTTCTGACTCCAGCTTTTCCTGATGGCGTACCTCCACCTTCTCCCGGAGGAGTTTCATCTTCTGAAGTTGTTCCTCTCTCTTCTGCTTCTGTCTGCGCTCCACCTCAGCGCTTAACAACTCAGCTTCTTTTCTGGCTTCAGCATCTTTCTGAGCCTGGTCCTCTTCCTTTGTGCGATCTCTGGCCTCCAGCTGGTTCAGAAGGCGAGCCAGTCTGTCTGTAGCCTCCTCTTTTGGGAGCTGCAGCATAGAGTCCCATTGTTTCTCTATGTTCTGACGAATAACCATCTCTGCAAGTCGAGAGTCCTGGTTCTCACGTCTTTTCAATCTTTTCCATTCTGATAATCTCCAGGCCTCCATCTTGATCCTGCAGTGAATTAGGATTTGTGTTGCGTTTAATTGTGTTTTGCTTTACAGTATTTGCCAAGAACTGACAATGCACAATAGGCACCGAACACACTATTTGTATAATTCAATTTACATCACACTCATAAGCTAATGCCTTAAGATTGTGATGATGTAATCTCTTTATGATGTCATGTTGCTATGGGTTACCAGGTTACCACGGTAATTACAATTGTGGCTTGTGGTTTCAATGAGGGCCTACCTTGTTACCATGGTAACCAGGTATCATTCAATCAATCATATTTTATTTATAAAGCGCTTTTCATACAAAAGATGCAACACAAAGTGCTTTACAGTTTGGTTAAAAACAATCCCGCACACACACACACACACCCGCACACACACACACACACACACACACACACACACACACACACACACACACACACACACACACACACACACACACACACACACACACACACACACACACACACACACACACACACACACAAAGCGTCATCCAAGGAGTTCAGCTTCCTGATGGCCTTGTGAATGAAACTGTTTTTAAGTCGACTGGAACTGTTCCGTAAATTCTGCAGTCTCCTCCCTGAAGGCATTACCCTGAAGAGCCTGTGTGATGGGTGCGTAGGGTCCCTGGTGATTCTGACGGCTTTGCGGGTGAGACGGGTGGAGTACATGTCCTTAAAGATCCTATATCACGCTTTTCTTCATGTTTCACACTCAATCCTATACACATGTGTGATATTAATGTGTATGATACACCACACAACAATCAAAGCTTGTGAGATTAGAGCCATCTCTTGTATAGAGGTGACGTCACCTCGACTCAAACGAGCTGATCCAGAGAAGAGTCTGCTCTTCTGCCTGTGAGCCCGCCTCCCCCCGCCCGCACGCTGACGTAGCATCACGCTTTTGTCGTTTATCACCTGTACTTACAGTAGTAATTTCATACATAAGAATAAACTTTTTCCAACAATGACAATCCGTCACATCGAGCCCTATGTCCTCGATGCACAATCAGACCCTAGTTATTTAGTTTACAGAAGTATACAGCGAGTTAGCGTCACTACTTACAGATCGAGGGGGTCCGAGTTACGTCTTTTACCGTGGGAATAACGTGTTTCCACATCAGCTTTTGAGTAAGTCCAGTTCCATTGTCCCTGTAGTTCTGGAACAGTCTCAGTGAAGTGTCGCAGATGAACCGGTATTATAATAGATCCATGAGATGAACAGATGAAAAAAGTCGAGCCGCTTTCTTCCTCTTAGGGCCAAATAGTGTGTCACATATTTACACCCATAACACACTTCATTCAAGTTGACGTGATCCTAACACTTTTAGTTGCTGACAAAAGCATAAAAACAGCAGCTCTATGTGGTGTCCGCGAGACCAGACCACAGACGCTGGACTCGGGAGCTGGAGCCTGTGCGCTCTGATTCGCTGTTTTGATCTGTCAATCACCTCCCGCCGGCTTTTAATTTATTTTTATTTTTATTATTTTTGACAAAAAACAGCATACTAATTGTGTACTGTTTACCCCGTTTTGACAAAAGTATTTAACAACTATTTTAAATACAAAGCAAACGGGGTCATGTGCGTCATCAGTGTGGTTTTCGTCACTGAAGTGGACCCGAGCGTTTCTGTGCCTCACGCTGGGGAAGGAGACAGATTGTTCTCTTACAAAAGATTGACAGAATCAATGAATAAACTACTGCGGGCTTGTGTATGAAGGCCAAATAGCATTGTAATCATGTTTAAAGCAGAGAAAAGTCAAAAACCGTGATATGGGCCCTTTAATGGTGGGGAGAGGGGCTCCACAGATCTTCTCTGCTGCTCTCACGATGCGCTGGAGGCTCCTTCGGCAGGAGGCAGTGCTGGTGCCGTGCCACCCAGTGATAGAGCTGGTCAGGATGCTCTCTACAGTCCCTCTGTAGAAGTTGCACACAACGGAGGCCGGGACTCCTGTAGCGCCTCTTGTGATGCCTCCACTGTGCTGCAGATGCGTGGGGCCCTCGGTGACCTGTCAGCGCTTCAGAAGATGATATGTCTGGATTTGTAGGTCTTAAATACTGCTCAAAAAGCCATTAGCTCAGATGCTAACTGTGTGTTTACTTTTAAAAACACATCCTCTGTTCATTGCTAGCAAAGAGCTTTGGCAGTAAAAAATCCGCTGAACTCCACAAAAACATTGCAAAGATGTACAACAACATCTTGCAAAACAATGCGGATCACAAAAACTGCAAATGCAGTTTGCAGAAAAGGGTAGAAACTTCACCTTGTCAAGAGAGAAAGAAGCCGCAGCATGTTCATGCGCCGCCATGGTAACAAGGGTCTTGAGCCTACTTTTAAAAATATGAATGAGAGAATGGGGCGGACTCTGGCGATGTTCTTTAGATGAAAATAAACTATTTTTTTATCATCTAAAGAACAATGGGCCTCATTCACGAACGGTTCTTACGAACAAATTTGTGCGTAAATCCTACTTACGAGGATTTTACGAAGAATGTGGCATTCACGAATATTTCTCGTAAGCAGAATTTCTCTTGGGTAAGTACAAATCCTACGAGTGCTCAGGAGCACTCTTACGCACATTCAGTGCCGACATGTTCACACGCTCGTGTTGTGAAGTTCAATAAAATACAACATTACAGTGATATGTTTGCCATGTATGTATTTATTTATTTCATTGTTTATGGTAATTTAGTCATTTTTTAAATTAATTTGTAAACTTAATGCGCCAACGCTTTATCAAATACATTGGAAATCATGCCGTGGATTTATCCATCCACGGGTCACAAAACAATGGAATATATACTGTTGCAGCAGGAGGACCGCGCTGGTCTCTCCATATGGTCTCTCCAGTCGCTGCGGTCTCTCTTCGGTCCGCGCTGGTCTCATGCTGGTCTCATGCGGTCTGCGCTGGTCTCAGTCTATGCGGTCTCTCTTCGGTCCGCGCTGGTCTCAGTCTATGCGGTCTCTCTTCGGTCCGCGCTGGTCTCAGTCTATGCGGTCTCTCTTCGGTCCGCGCTGGTCTCAGTCTATGCGGTCTCTCTTCGGTCCGCGCTGGTCTCAGTCTATGCGGTCTCTCCTCGGTCCGCGCTGGTCTCAGTCTATGCGGTCTCTCTTCGGTCCGCGCTGGTCTCAGTCTATGCGGTCTCTCTTCGGTCCGCGCTGGTCTCAGTCTATGCGGTCTCTCTTCGGTCCGCGCTGGTCTCAGTCTATGCGGTCTCTCCTCGGTCCGCGCTGGTCTCAGTCTATGCGGTCTCTCTTCGGTCCGCGCTGGTCTCAGTCTATGCGGTCTCTCTTCGGTCCGCGCTGGTCTCAGTCTATGCGGTCTCTCTTCGGTCCGCGCTGGTCTCAGTCTATGCGGTCTCTCTTCGGTCCGCGCTGGTCTCAGTCTATGCGGTCTCTCTTCGGTCCGCGCTGGTCTCAGTCTATGCGGTCTCTCTTCGGTCCGCGCTGGTCTCAGTCTATGCGGTCTCTCTTCGGTCCACGCTGGTCTCAGTCTATGCGGTGTCTCCTCGGTCCGCTCTGGTTTCTGTGTGCTGGTCTCTCCAGTCTCTCCTCGGGTCTGCATTGGTCTCGGCGCTGGATCTCCTCTCAGGGTCCAAAATACTTTTAGATTAATCTCATAACATTTTGAGATTAATCTAATCATTTTGCTAGTTCGACTTTATTCTCAAAATATTTCGACTTTTAAGTCAACATTTTATAACTTTATTCTCAGTCTGACAAAAGAAGAAAAAAGGGTGACTCTTTTGCTCCGTGTAACTCTTTGCTTTAGGCCTGTTGCTGTTTCCTCTGGCGTCTGCACACGGCCCTGCAGTCCCTTATATGGGCATTAATGGGCGGTTACTTATGCTAAGTACCTATGCTAATGAATCACCGGGCACGCGCGCTCTACTTACGAGGAAATGGGATTCATCAATCTGAGAGAACAGCTGCGAACAATTCAGCGCCTTACGAGTGCGTTGATGAATCCCACGTAGGGTCTTCTTAGAAATCTACTTAAGGACAACTTGAGAAGAAATTTAAGAAGTTTCTTACGAAGTTATTCGTGAATGAGGCCCATTGTAACAAGACATTGCTTGGTTGCAAACACATGACCAAAAGGGGGCGTGGCATGTGTTTATTCTATTGGATAGAATGGTAGATGCAAGAAAATGCACACACAGAAAATTTTCAATGCAGCGTACACCTTAGAGTTTTAATGAGTCCAATTTTGTCAACAAACAGGAGGATTAAGCAGCTGTTACAGTGACAACGGTAAAGTCACTCTGGGATCGACAGAAGCCATGTCCAAGATGACAGTTCTGATCATTGATACAATAAATAGGGCACAAATGTTACTTTTAACAACATTTGAGGCAAGAAATATGACCCTTTGTTGCTATTTTGATGATTTGTTGAGCGGTAAACAATAACAAATTCAGACTTATGCTCCGGGGGAAGCTCCGCTGAATTCAGCTAGCAGCAGTAATCACAAGAAGTGATTTTGTCCTATTAGTTAGAATGGGCGATGCGGGAAAACATAAACATAGAAGCTTCTCGCAGGGTAGTTGTACTCTAATTTGAGTCCTATTTTGTCATCAATGAGGTGGATTAAGTGGCTGTTATTTTTGGGTTTCATATGACGCCTTGGAATGACATACGTGGGACAGGACCGGAGCGGACGTGACTTACCCTGGCGGTGCAGTCTGCCGGGTATAAACATATAGTAGAAGAAGAAGCGCTTAGATCTTATATCGAATTTGACTTAGACTTACCGATAAAAACAATTTTGAGTAATACAAATATCTTGTATGTTTGATATCATGGTTGTGCATATGTATTTTACTTAACATGCACTGTCCCAATCAAATAAACCAATACATACAGATGCAAATACAACACCAACATATGACAATGTGGTTTTACATTT